ACAGAAAAAGAAAAAGTACAGTCGAAAAGAAAAAAGTCTTTTATCTTGCCCCGGGCATCTCCAAAACATCCGCCAAGGGTGAATCGACGTAGAAAGGTTGAGCAGCTTCGGGAGCAGGCAGAACGGGAGGTACTTCAGCAACAGAGAGACCCTGAGGAATATTATGGTCTGGGTCCTGGTCCGGCAAGGCCTCGTTAGACAAATCCACTATTACCGCCTCACGCAGATCCGCCGAAACTTGCACCGGCGTTGGAATCTCGCCCTCGGAAGCAATCTCTACTTCGGCCTGTTCCATTTCCGCCGAGGGCACGTACTTGTGCATCTGGAAGAGTGGAGAGTCTGACGGGATTCCAGCAGACTGGAGCGCCTCGTCCCACCCCTTCTTGAAGAACTCCTTGCTATTTTCCTCAAGAGCGGGGAACACGTCATCGGCGAACTCTTCCCGGAGTTGCTCCTCGGACTTCTTGTTTTGTGCCTTGGTCCTGATCCTGTCAAGCTCTTGGGTCAGAGCTAGACAGCTTTCCTCTGAGCCAACAGCCCTCTCCTCCGCCACAGAGAGCCGCTGCGTCTGCTCTGTGATCCTCCCCTCAGCGTCGGCAAGGGCAGCACTTAGCTTTTCAGCGCTGACCTTACCCAACTCGGCATCTTTGAGGAGTTGCTCGATTTGAGCAGCCTGCCCTGCGAGGGTGGAATCCCTGGCAGCTACGTCCTCCTTGGCACTGGCAAGGGCACCCTCCACTTCTTCCTTCTGTTCTCGGACCTGCTGGAGGTCCATCCTAGCCCTATGATATCGCGCCGTTATTATGGAGATCTGTTGGGTGGTCTGCAAAGGAAAAGACATGTCACTAGAAGGAAAAACGGCTAAAAAAAAAAAAGAGACTGAAGCAAAGATGAAACTTACCACTAGAAAATTCTGGATGATAGAGCGAAACAACACGTTCGTTAATCGCCCCCTGTGAGCCACCATGTCGGCCTCAAAATACAGCGTCTCACTCACTGCATTGGCGACATGGGGGTCCTGCAAAATGGAATCGTCGACCCTGATCACTCGGTTCATGTGATCAGTGGCTCGAGGATTCCACTCCGTGGCTTTCACTGTCGGCGGAAGGGGAGGAGGAGTCTACTGTTGCCACTGCTGCTGTTGCTGCTGTTGTTGCTATCGCTGCTGTTGTTGCTGAGAAACAGGGGGCAACCCACGGCCTCTCCCACTTTGATGCTGAGCGGAGGGGGCCCTGGATCCCCTGCCAAGGCCATCATGCCTATGTTTGATCCTCCTCTCCTCCTCTACCTGAGGATCCCGGTCATGCACTTGACCTCGACTAATGACTCTTGAGGATGGGGTGGTGCTGGTCCTTGCAGTTGGGGTCCCACCGGCCGACCCTCGTCCCCTCCCGGCAGCGAGGGCTTGTCTCTGCCTTAGGAACCCTAGATCAATGCGGGGCGTGCTGGACATGGCTACCTCGAGGGCATCCTCGGCGTCTAGAGATCGTAGGATTTGAAAGTCCGGCCACGAATCTCTCACCGGAGTTCCCACCTCGGCGTGCGAAGGAACCAAGTCCTCTCTGACACCGAGCTCTTCAATTCTACCCTCTACTTCTGCCTCTGAAGCCCAGTCGGGGTCTTCTTCCAAGTTTTCCTCGACTTCTTGCCCTACCGCCTGATCGAAGAGTTCAGACCACCGCGAAGGATCGAAAGGCTGGGGAAGCTGTGAAAACTTCTTATATCCGGGAGTATAATTCAGGAGGATGTGGGCAGCTCGGTCGAGCCCGTCGGAACCAGTGAATCTCCAAACGGTGGCTAGGTCCGCAAAATTCACCAACGATCGGGGTGGAGGAGTTGTTTCCCAAGGGGAGATGTCTGCACAAGCACAAAGAGGGGAGTGGGTCATGAGCACGTAGAAAATCTCAGAAACAGAATAATAGACCCGAAGGAACCGACGTACTTGTCGTTCTCCATTCCAAAGGGCATAACAAGTCGTCATACTTGGGACCGACACCTCTCTGCCAAGATCCCTTGAAGATGAGTAGGTCATCCTTGTACCCCTTGTCCGAGTCAGGGAGGTGAGTTACGAGGTACATAGATGGGTCCCCTGGTTTTGAGGTAGAAGTGTTGTTGAAGCGTAACTCTCAAGAGGGAATAACAAAAAAGGATATCGTTCAGCCCGACGTTTATTCCAAGACGCCTATTGAGCTCTAGGACCCCCATAATTATCCTAAAGACATTAAGGCAACACTGCCCGGAAAAGAGGCGAAAACGAGAGAGGAACTGGAGAAGCAGAGGGGGCAAAGGGAACCTAATTCNAATATCCTGAAGACATTAAGACAACACTGTCCGGGGAAAAGGTGAAAATGGGAGAGAAACTAGAGAAGCAGAGGGGGCAAAGGGAATCTAATTCCGCCTTCTATGATGGCTTTGGTATAAAAGGGNGACTTTGATAAAAAAAAAGGCATTGCGTCCTCGGTACCGAGGGTACAAGGGTGCACAGCCGGGTCATAATCCTCTATGTCTACATTCGGGGGAATGCTGTACTTAACCCTAAAACTATTAATTTGTTCATCATCTTTTACTTTATACTTCCCTGGCCTCGAAGTACTAGCCTGAGGGTTCTCAGGGGCAGGGCGACGACGAGGCATCTTCAAAAAGTGATAAAAAAAATATATAGAGGGGGTCTTTTCCACNCCTATTAATTTGCTCACTACCCTTTACTTTATATTTCCCTGACTCCGAAGAACTGGTCTGAGGATTCTCGGGGGCAGGGCGACGNAATATATAGAGGGGGTCTTTTCCACGAAGATCCCCAAGAAGTCTTCCCGGGGATTGGTCGTTGAAGGGCAACCAGAAAACACCTCCGGTGATCGGAAAACCAAAAGAGACAGAAGGGCAAAGAAAGGGAAGATACTGGGACTCACCAGAGTATAGAAAGAAGTTTTTTTTTTTTCTGGAAAACTTGAATCGACTCCTTCCAAGAATGTTCAGAAGCAAGGATGAGTCTGCTGGCTTTAAAGCTTCAGTGAAAAGGTTGGGCAGTTGACAAACGGAAGGAAAGAGGTCTCCGGCGACGATTCAGGCAAGGGCTCTCTGTGAAGAAAAGTTCAGAACGATGAAATGAGGAAAGAAGAGAGAAAGCCCCTTTATATATAGCACCTATCCCATCATTAGGCGCGAAGCACGGAACGACGCATTTAATGCGCACGACATCCTAAGCAAGGAAAACGGCTAGGGGCAATGATGAAGCAGTTGAGGTTGTTTCAAAACCCTTCATCTCCTTACAACGCGTGTCCTCGGTGTCAGAAGATCGAAGGCTGNGATGTTTTTTTCCTTGAAGGTCCCCAAGGAAGGCTTCCCGGGGATTAGTCGCTAAAGGGCAACCAGAAAACACCTCTGGTGATCGAAAAATCAAAAGAGACAGAAGGACAAAGAAAGGGCAGATACTTGGACTCACCAGAGTGTAAAAAGAGAATTTTTTTGAAAAACTTGAATCGACTCCTTCCAAGAATGTTTAGAAGCAAGGATGAGTCTGCTGGCTTTAAAGCTTCAGTGAAAAGGTTGGGCAGTTGACAAACGGAAGGAAAGAGGTCTCCGGCGACGATTCAGGCAAGGGCTCTCTGTGAAGAAAAGTTCAGAACGATGAAATGAGGAAAGAAGAGAGAAAGCCCCTTTATATATAGCACCTATCCCATCATTAGGCGCGAAGCACGGAACGACGCATTTAATGCGCACGACATCCTAAGCAAGGAAAACGGCTAGGGGCAATGATGAAGCAGTTGAGGTTGTTTCAAAACCCTTCATCTCCTTACAACGCGTGTCCTCGGTGTCAGAAGATCGAAGGCTGGGGGGCAGTTGATGGGACATTTTCGGAATACTCCAAGATGAAGACACGTCCTCAGTGTCACTGATCCTTGTTATCGAGATCACGTACCCATCGGGTCATAAGTCTCCTCTACCCCGAGGTACTTATCATGGGATCGAGTGACATCAGTACGTTTTTGTGTACCGACACGTACCCTCGGTCTGATATGGTACATCGGTCGCTAGGCCTCCCCCTCTCGGATTCAAGATGTACCTATTCCTCGGTTTTGAGATGTACCTCTTCCTCGGCTCTGAGATGTACCTCTCCCTCGGTACCGAGATGTACCCCCTATGATCCAGGATGAAGTTCTCTGCTCCAGTAGAGGCTATTGATGCACTGGTCACTAGCCTAAGCTAGGCTAGGTTAGCTATCATGACCTCGTCTTACACAATCGATGTCAGAAGGCACAGGAAGGCAGGGGCCACAACCAATGAGGAATGGACGCGTGACATATTGTGTCACATTAGAGACAGAAATACCGCATGACCTTGCTGACACGCGACTTGGGAGAGCAAACATTTAATTATGTCATTCCCTTGATGAGACTGCATTCAATGCGGTAAGGCTCAGAAGTGAAAGGCAATAAATGCCTCTAAGACTGGACATTTATTGCGTCCTCTCCGAGGGGAGCTCATTGAACAGTCGGCAGACCAATGACACAGTATTGATTGCTCGGGATCCCGAGCAGTTGAAAGAGAAGACATTCCTCATCAGAATCAGTGTGCACACAGTCTGTACTTAATGATCACCTACTGACTACACTGACATCAATCATGAGATTTTGAGGTATAAATACTCATCGCAAAAGGCAAGATGGTAGGCAACAAAAAAACCTTTGCTACAATACATACTCAGTGTTTTCTTCTTCCTCTCTCTCTCAAAGACTAACTTGACCGTCGGAGGGGATACGCCAAAAAACACTCCGGCGCCCTTCTAACTTGTTCTTCTTTGTTCCAAGAATCTTTCTTCAGCCTTACTGGATTGTTCCTTTGATCCACGAGGGTCTCCCATTACCGTTCCAGGTTACCACAGGATTTCACAGGCTGTTCCAAGCAACGTGGCTGACCACTCCACCGATTCACTCGATTTCACCAAGGGAGAGATCTGTTCTCGTTTTTATATTGTGCAAGATCCAGCACGCACACTCTTCATGCACCTATCAACTACTTCCTTGTTTATCATCAAGGTCTTGTCATTAGAGGAATTTCCATTGCCGTAGGTATTACAGACTTCAATTTATTGGCGACCCTTTCACTTTTCCTATGCTTTTCTGGGACTTACAGAAAATCATCGCGAGGATGGTCACTGCAATGCTTCAGTGAATGGAATTCAATCCTCAACCTGGCTGTCCCTAGTTGTATATCCGTTTGCTTGGAGTGGTGGTGGTACGAGTTGCTGATAATCTTATTAGGGTTATGTTGAAAATAAGAGAGACAAAGGCAACAAGAGTTTGAATACAGAGTAAAAAACAGAGAGAAGTACAGCTTTATCAATTCAAAAATGGAAGAAATACTCTACAATTCTCATATATTTTAAACGGCTGATTACACCCTTTATTTATAACCTAAAACCATAACCACAATGCCTATAAAGTAGCCACTAATTCCTACATAAAAACAACTACTACAGACTAGGTCTTCTGCAACTCCTCTCCTACTTTCTAGTTAACAATTAAAGACTAAATCATTATAATTCTGCTAACTAAATTAATCACGTTTTGCATCAATTCTTATCAGGTTATTTTTGAACGCAGCGGAGGTGGTGCCGCCATGGGGATTCTCCTTCAAGCAACTTCACTTGTCTACATATTCCCTTCTGCACTGAGTTTAGCAGTGACAACTAGGGTGGGGAATGAGTTAGGAGCCAACCAAACATGCAAAGCAAAAACCTCGTCTTTGGTTGCATTAACATACGCCATTTTCACAAGCTTCATGGCCATGTTCTTCATGACAACGCTTAGAAATGCTTGGGGCCGAGCTTTCACGGTAGACGAGGCATTTCTGTCGTTGACAGCGGTGGCTATGCCGGTTGTGGGGCTGTGTGAGCTAGGAAATTGCCCACAGACCACCAGTTGTTGTGTGTTAAGGGGAAGCGCGAGGCCAAAACTGGGTGCCAACATAAATCTGGGCTCATTTTATTGTGTTGGGTTACCTTTGGCAGTTTTAATGGGCTTTGGACTGGATATGGGCTTCTTTGGGCTTTGGTTGGGCCTACTGGCGGCACAATTAGTGTGTGCTCTTCTAATGGTGCTTGTGTTGACGAGAACAGATTGGGTGATAGAGGCAGATAGAACAAGGCAGCTGATTGGAGTTGATGGAGACCAACAAGGAGAAAGGCCCTGGCAAGACCAATGTTCATCAAGGTTGTCAATTAGCTCCCCAAATTAAGGGTCAGTAAATTTGTTTTCTTTTCTACTTTTTTTTATTTTCTCTTTCATTTGGGGAGGAGGTGAGAAGAGTTGAGAGCAAAGTCGGGAACGGATGCATAATGCATCAAGAGGGGTGG